CTTCCTTCCTTCCTTCCTTCCTTCCTTCCTTCCTTCCTTCCTTCCTTCCTTCCTTCCTTCCTTCCTTCCTTTTTGAGTTGCAGAGACACATACATGATTTAGACCACACCTTTTTATACTTTCTAGATTACACTGAGATCACTAGCAAACAAATGTAAGGAAAAAATAAATTCATGTAACTGTAGTACATTTAGTTATCTGGTCTTGTTTAGTTTATATGAAGCAAGCCAATTTTTTCAAAAGATACATGATGTATTAGTATGATTTCATGCATTTTGTCAGTGCTTTTTGTTTGCTTCGTGTTATTATTTCTACTTGCTGTATATTTAAGTACCTTAGGTAGATTTCTTTCTTAACTCATTTGGAACAATGATTTATTTCCATGTAGTCTATACATTCATAATACGTAACTGTGCTCTGAATCTTCCCTTTAAATGTGAGTAGGCATTTGCTTTTGTTAATTATTTTAAGGCTTAACAAAAGATGTGGAGGAAATGTCAACTTAATTATGTTTAATTAGAGTATGGGTGTATAAATAAAAAAATCAACATACAAAAATATTTGGGGCTACACAAAATTTTAAATTGCATATGAATAAATAAATTTGTAAAGCAAACACAGATCTATAATCCCACACTTAATAAACAGAAAAATTAACACACTTACTTATATTTCTCTATGAAAAAAATGATGGTGACTTTAAAATTGTTTTTTCAAACAATTGTATTGAAAATTTCACATAAAAACAACTGATTGTTCTGCCTTGATCCAGAGAATAGATCCAGCAGAGGGCAAAGGACCAAATTAGCGAGATGAGATAAAAATTTGCAAGACAAACATATGGCAGCTAACAGCGTGTGAATTTCCTTTGAACTGAAGTTTAAAAAAAAAAACAAGAAACAAAACAAAACAAAACAAAAAAACCAATACTTATGTTGTGTTACCAAGAGATAACTAAGAATAAAAAACACTATAAGTATTTTTTGTCCTTTGTGAAATGGTAATTTTCATGGACCAATACAGTGAAGGTTCTGTTTCATTTCCTTGGAGAAAATAATCATTTATCACACTGAGATACATATTTAATGCATTTGGTAAGGAAACACTACTGATAACTTGCTATCGCTGCATAGTTCT